TCTAAAGAGGTCAGCAGAAGTGCAGTTAAACCAAGCTCTCAAATTATTCAACCAGGAGATGCGTCTTCTTCCGTGACTCCTTCTACGCTTTATTCTTTCTTGCATTATTAATTGCAACAAGTAATATATAACGCTCGCCCCTCATAACATGTCCCAGATATGGCAGTTTTCTGACTTTAACTGTATTTAAGACCTCTTTATCTTTACCCATTCTTATCAACACCTCGACATTCGTGACTCTATCTACCCAACTTATTCTTAATATTCTTCTGTGTGCCCATAACTCGAAGACTTACAATCTGTCCAAACATCTTTCTTTAAAGTCCAAGCTTCCAACCCATAAAATAATACGGAGAACACGTAGCATCTCAGAAGTCTTATCTTTAAAGAAATTGAAATGTTCCTGCTGCAGAGTACTTTTTTTAGTTTACTAAAAGAATTTCTTGCCTGTTATATTCTTGCCTTAATCTCTTGTGTGTACTCATTATTTTCATTAATTATTGTATCCAGATATTTATATTTTTCAACTTTTTAAATTTGTTCTCCATGTATTGTTATGCTTTCTTGGCGCTGTTTGGCTTTTGTTTTTACCATAAATTATGTCTTTTTTGTGTTAAGGAACGGTCCGTTTTCTTCACTGACTTTTACCACTTTGTCAACCATTTGTTGTAAATCCTCAAGACCTTCCGCTAATACAATAATAAGTGTCCTCCGCAAACCGTATATTATTGATTGGTCGGCTATTTACTTTTATTCCTATAGTTAGTTCTTATAGTGCTTCCTGGATTATTTCCTCTAAATTCAAATTAAACAAAGTAGGAGACAGGACACAGCCTTGCCTGACGCCCCTCTCAATCTGTATTTTATTTGAAAAGACCTTGTTTTCGTTTACCACAGCGATCTGATTAAAATAGATAGCGCTAATGATCCTGATGTCTCTCATATCTAAGTTTTTCTTTTTAAGTAATTCGATAAGACGGTTATGTCTGACCTTATTGAAGGCTTTATTGTAATCCAAGAAACACCTATATACTGGCTAATTAACATCCTTCACCTTTGCACAAGTACATTCACAGCGAACAGGGTTTCCTTCGTTCCCAGTGCATTTCTAAATCCAAATTGTGTGTCACTTATGTCCTGCTCAAGTTTGTTGTGTACCTATTCTCTGGTGTATAATTTTTAAAAATATTTTGAGCGTATGGCTCATCAAACTTATTATCCGGTGGTCTTGGCATTCTTTCGCATTTGTTTTTTTTTTTTGGTTGTATTATGAATGTTGATATCAGCCAATCTCTGGGAATGATTCCTGTACTGTATATTGTATTCAATAAGTCAACCAATATTCCAATTTGCTGTTCTTCTAATAACCGTATTATGTCTACAGGTATTTCGTCAGGACCTGTTGCCTTATTATTCTTTGTTCGCTTTATCGCCTCTAATACCTCATCTTCTGTTATATCTGGGCCGTTGTCGAACTTGTCCTGCTTTAGTACTATCTCAGTCCGTTCGTCTTTAAATAGCTCTTGAATATATCCCTGCCATTTTTTAAGCCTTTTACCGACGTCTGTAATTATTTTGCCGTTTTATCCAGCAGTATGTTTGATTTTTTCTTAATATTAGTGCCTGTTATTTTCCTAATTTTTTATAAAGGTTTAAGTTATCATGTTTCTCCACCAACTGTTCAATCTCTTCGCATCTGTCACGATACCATCTTTCCTTTGCATCTCTAATCTTTCTCCTTATTTTTATGTGTATAATATTATATATGTTTATCAGGACACATATCAAATTCAAAACACCAAAAATCATGTCGCCATGTTTAATAATTCTATTTTCGCTAGATTCTATACTAGATTTTAAAATAGAGATACTTATTCTTCTTACGATGTGGATATTTTATCTAAGTATATGATGTGGAGACGTGGACCATCAATAAGTATTAATGCAACCAAATAAAAGAATTTGAACTATATACTTATAGAAGAATATTAAAAATATCCTGAACTGATAAGACAACAAATGTAGAGGAACTCAAAATGTAGAAGAATGAGAAAAGGAAAAGAATTGCAGTTGACCATCAAAAGTTGAAAACTTTAATATTTTGGACATGTTATGCGGAAAGATAAATGCTAACTCCTACGAAACATAATCCAGGAAAAAACTGTAGCAAAAATAAGTACAGAAAGAAGAAAGATACCTTGGCTATGAAATTTGAAAGAGTAACTTGGTTGTAACTCTAATCAGCAATTCCGTTCAGATTTAAGATCTAATATCTAAATAGCAATGATGATAGCCAAACTTCGACGAGGAGACGGCACATGACGAAGAAGAAGATTCTTCTTACAGATGTAGGATCATGCATTTCAACTGTTAGTTTAAATTTATATATATCTTCTAAGTGATTTTAGAATGAATTTCTGTCATTCCCACACTATATTACTTAAAATAGAATATTATATTACTTACTTACTCCGTGGCGTTACAATCTTTCGTAGGTTTTAGCCGACTCGACAACATGCCCCCACTGTTTTCTGTCTTAGATTAGATGGAGCAACCTCCATCTATTTTCTCCACGCCCATAGTGCTTAGGTCTCCTGCTATATTATCTCGCCACCGGAGACGAGGGCGTCCGCGTGGTCTCCTTCCAGTTGGGACTTCCTCCCCCACCAGTCTTACTGTTCGTTCGTCAGAATGTCTTCTGAGGTGACCTGCCCTTTATAGTCTTCTGGACTTTCTTTCTTTTATGATGTTGGCGTCTGGGTAAAGTTCTTCGAGCTCTTTGTTAGTTTTTTCGATTTTATAAGGTTTTGGAGGGCAAAAAGACATCTGTTGCCGGCCTGAATTATGTTGTTTATTTCTTGTGATCCGTTATTGTCTTCAGTTATTGTTGTTCCAGGATACTAGAATTCTCTAACGCGCTCAAAAATTAAAGTTATCGATGGTGATGTTCTGACCGATTCTGTCTCTGCTTTAGTTATTGCGGCTCATATACATATATTTCGTCTTGTTTTAGTTGATTTGGAGCCCCATCTTCTCTGCTTCCTTCTCCAATCTCACGAAAGTCTCCTTAATACTTAATCGTGTGTTTCCTATTATATCGATATCTTCTGCAAATGCCAGTAGTATGTTTGGTCCTTCTCGATAAAATACTGTATTCGGTTTTTCGATTCTTGTACTTTTGATTATGTGCTCCAGAGCTAAGTTAAAGAGTTTTGGTGAAAGTGCATCTCCCTGTTTTAGTCCATTGTTTATTTTAAATTCTCCAACGATTTCTTCTGTGTATGTTTTGGTTCTTTCTAGCAGGATGTTTGCAAGGATTTTGTAGGTGATGTTTAGGAGTGTTATTCCCCGGTAGTTAATACATTGCTTTTGTTTCCTTTTTTGTGTATTGCTGCAATAACCCCTTCTTTAAATTTTAACCCCAAAAAATATTATATTAGCGTATTAAATTACTATTATTCTAAAATAGGTAAAGAGATAATAAATAAGACTTACAATCAATTTAATTTAACTATCAGATGACCGATTTCGATTTCTACAATATGCAAAGCATCCTCAGGTCTCGATACAAAGTTAAATAAATGCTGAAATGATAAAAACCCATATTAGGGTGTTGTCTAATAAAGATAAACAAAGTAGATATTGTAAATTACAATAATTATGCCAATATTACATGTCTGTGGTTTTATTTCAAAAAGAGTAAGTTGAATAAAAAGGTATAAAAATTTTAAAAGTTTAAACAGACAAGGTAAGGCCCAAAAATTGTTATAAAATAGTCTATTACATTGTAATAAATTAATAAATGAGCAAAAAAATAAAAATAAAAATTACTTACATTCCGGTACTCTATTAATTGATAGATGGTGGAACATGGTTGAAACTACTATGTATTGTTGAATGGAGAACTCAATTCTGCTATTGTAGTTGTTTGACAGTAAACGGGAAGTTCTTAAGGAGATAGATTTGATCCAATGAAGAAGAGATATGTGTGTTATTGTTTGTTAAATGAAAGTGATGTAATATATCATTGTAATATTAAAAGTTATTTATACTTATTCGAGAGATATATTTATGAAATGTGTGTTATTTATTGAGTAATTGTTTTATGAAGGTGACAGTTTTATGACAATGAATAAGTTTAGATGTACAAATTGTGTGGGTGTGCAATTATTTTTCAACTTGTAGTTATCAAATTACTTTGATAAAGTTCAAAGCCCACACATATTAAAATAATTGCACACCCACACAATTTGTACATTTAAACTTATTCATTGTCATAAAACTGTCACCTTCATAAAACAATTACTCAATAAATAACACACATTTCATAAATATATCTCTCGAATTAGTATAAATAACTTTTAATAATACAATGGTATATTACATCACTTTCATTTAACAAACAATCACACACATATCTCTTCTTCATTGGATCAAATCTATCTCCTCAAGAACTTCCCGTTTACTGTCAAACAACTACAATAGCAGAATTGAGTTTTCCATTCAACAATACATAGTAGTTTCAACCATGTTCCACCATCTATCAATTAATAGAGTACCGGCATGTAAGTAATTTTTATTTTTATTTATTTGCTCATTTATTAATTTATTACAATCTAATATGACTATTTTATAACAATTTGTGGGCCTTACCTTGTCTGTTTAAACTTTTAAAACTTTTATACCTTTTTATTCAACTTACTCTTTTTGAAATAAAACCACAGACATGTAATATTGGCATAATTATTGTAATTTACAATATCTACTTTGTTTATCTTTATTAGACAACACCCTAATATGGGTTTTTATCATTTCAGCATTTATTTAACTTTGTATCGAGACCTGAGGATGCTTTGGATATTGTAGAAAGCGAAACCGGTCGTCTAATAGTTAAATTAAATTGATTGTGAGTAAGTCTTGTTTATTATTTCTTTACCTATTTGAAATGGACTCACACAAGCAACACATTCATGATTTACTATTATTCTGTTTTTAATCAGAAAAATCCTGCCTGGAAAAACGATAGATCAAAAACTTCCGTTACATTTACTTCTGGGAGATTAAAAAGTATGTTTCCTGTCGTCCAAAAAACAATGAATCAATTGGAGAAATTTATTATTGAAAACAAAACTATTGTCGATGCAAAAGAAGTGGCTGCGTTGTTTAGTACTGATCTTATTGCCCAGTGTGCTTTTGGTAAGTGATTAAAAGTTTTTACTTTCATTTATTACTCTTAAAAATGATCTACGTACATTAAAAATACTATCTTGATTTAAAGAATTTATTTTATTATTTTAATTTATTAAATTTACATATCAGTAAAATTTTATTTTATTGCAAATATTTTGTGCAGATACATTATTATCACCACAAACGCAATAAAGTAGTTATTTATATTTAAGTTTTATTTAAATAACGTTCATTTGTGTAAAAACAGATTACGTTTTTATAGAGTAAACGAAATTTTATTTACAGTTATCTATAATCAACAACATTACTGCTGACGCCCCACAAAATATCCTAGGTTCGAAATACATACAGAGGAAGGAGAGGAAGATATATAAATAATATATATATATATATATATATATATATATATATATATATATATATATATATATATATATATATATATATATATATATGTGTGCTTAGAATGTGCATGTGTTGTAGAAGTGTGTCCTAATCTGAGACGTGTTATTAGGACTTGATATTGTCGCTTTGAAGGACAGAAGTTCCATGGAAGGACGGAAGATTTTATTTCTATTAATTTAGTGGTGCTTCTATTCCATTGGTTTTGCCAAACATCGTGCAATTTTAATTTTAAGTAAGGTTTTAAATTTAAATGCACCGTTAGATTTTTCACTGATGGGACTGTATGGGTAAGTGCGGATCTAGCTGGACTATCTGCCTTTTTGCAACCATCTATTCCAAAGTGTGACGGTAGCCAGAGGAACTCTACTGTTAAATTGTTTTGGTATAAGCGGTATACAATTAACTTAATCTGCTGTAATGTTGGATGAGAGGGATAAATCTAAGAAATTGATGTCAGACAGCTAAGTGAATCATATATTATAAGAGATTTGGGAAGTTTTTGATTTTGAGTTTTTGATTGATAAGAAAACGTTCAGCTGTAAAAATACTTGTCTTATGAGACAATTTATAGATATAATGTTCATGTGATATCACAAAGCATGCTCCTACTTCATTTATGCTCTTAGATGCGTCCGTGTATATAAAATGGTAATTTTTGTACTGACTAAGAACATGGAGATAGTAAGTTTTAAAAAAATTGGCTATCACGTTATTTTTGTTATATGCTGTAAGTTTAAGGTTACAAAGCGGAGAGGGAACAACCCTAGAAAATATAATTTTATGTTACAAATAGGATAAATGGAAGGTAGTTCAATGTTAAAATCTAATAAGTATCTACATATTAGCTCATTCATAGAAAGGTACAGTACCCCTATTATTTTTTTGATAGACCTCCTGGAACCTGTTAGTAACAGCATGATGAAAAGCTGGATTTCTTGGGTTAGATTTTATATTCGACACATACGATGAAGTTCAGTATTTTCTTCTGATCTTCCGACGTTTAAGGATGGCTCTCCAGCTTCACAGAGTAGACTGTTCAAAGGACTGGTGCAATATGCTCCTAGAGCAAGTATAACGGCTGAACTCTGAAGAGTATCCAAAGTTTTAAGCAATGCTTGGTTTGCAGTGTTATACTCAACACATCTCTAGTTTAGTTTTGATCTAATTAAAGTTTTATATAAATGTATTAACAATGAAAAATCTACTCCCCAATTTTTATGTGATACAGATTTCATAATGTTTAGTTCAGCTTGGCACGATAGTCTTAGCGAGTTTATATAACTTGTCCAACTTAATTTTAATTCCAGTTGCATCCCTAGAAATTATATTTCTTTTGTATATTCTGTAGGAGAATTGCATAAAAATAGATGTGGAAGCTTTTGTGGATTTGATTTTAGTAAAAAATGTATAGCTTTTGTTTTTGTGGTAGAAAACTGGAGCCCAATATTGTTAGATCACGATTCTATAGACTTAAGAGCTGCAGCAATACGATTATAAACAGATAATATGTTTTTATTTCTTGCTACAATTACCAGCAGATAATCAGCATACAAAAAAGTTTTAATTATGCTATTGCAGTACGACACAACGTAGTTAATAGCAATTTAAATAGCGCTACGCTAAGATTCGAGCCCTGTGAAATTCCATTTTTCTGTAATTTAGATGCAGACAAATGGTTATTAACTTGAACTTGGAAACATCGTTGCCGTAGAAAGTTTGAAATAAAAGCAAACATGTTACCGTGAATCTTCCAGTTCTGGAGTGAAATAACAATTTTCGTAGATACTTAATACTACATAAAAATAAACATAGAAAAACAATAATTGCTAAACATATTCAAGCCGACTCATTCATACAAGTTAGATTGTTAATCCTTTTTAAAAATTCCCAAATAATTTGTTGTATTTTATAATTTTATCGAGACAAGTATAAGTGAGAAGCTTGATTTTGTAGGAAAGGTTATATTGTAATAATAAATTGTAATAATGTAATAAACTATTACATGACGGTTATAGACACGTTACATGGTCTGTTGAATCGTTGCTTATTTATGTAATCCCAAAGCCGTGTAATTTTACCGAAAAGAATTTAAAACAAAAGTGTACTCTAATCTTTTATTTCAAATGGTAATAACATATTTTTTAATAGTATTTTTTTCAGGTATTGAATCTTTCTGCTTCGATAAAGCGCCTTCGGTATTTCGAGAATATGGCAGAAAATGTTTTGAATTTTCAGTGAGGAATGCATTTGCGCAGATGATGTATTTTTTTAAGCCAGATTGGGCTGCTAAATTAAAACTAGAATTTCTGCCCAAAGAGTCAATGGATTATTTCTCAGCTGCGATTCTTGAAACGATGAAATCCCGTCAAGATACTCATACATTCAATGACTTAATAGATATAATAAACGAATTAAAAAATAAGAAGCAACTCAGTCAAGATGACGACAGTAAGAGATATTTTTAAATAATTAGTACTTAAATGTGCATGGTAATAAATAAAAAAAATTGGTGATTTGTATATCATTTTTCTTATAAAAAAGCTTGCACGGCATTCAAGATTTACGTCGTCAGAACCACACAGCGTTGCCAAAACATCAGAATAGTAGTAGTAGTTATATTAACAGTAAACACGCTTAGTTTTAAGACTATTGCAATACACTAAAACACACAAAAAAACGTTTTAATACAAAATTATATATTCCAAATTTTTAAACATACTTTGTTTTAAGGGCTTTAATAGTAAAAACGTCCCGCCATTATTTCTTGTTCAAAATAATCTATCCTATATGAACGCTTATCAGCTTTCTTCAGACTATTTATTTGTTTTGGCATATCACAATCACAATACACAACAATAATTAGTTTTTAAAGCTTATAATCTAAATTTAGTATGTATTTATAAATACAATTTATTAATATATATTATATAATGAAAAAATTGTGTAAGAAATCAAAACATAAACAAAATTTCTATTCTAAAAAAGCGGCAACACGTTATACACTTTTGCCACACGCTCAACTGTCAATAAAAATTGAAGTATTTCCGTATCAGTTGCGTACAATTGTCTAATATATTTAATTAAAATTATTACTTTGTGAAATATTAGACTTGAAGAGTTATTTCATAAAATTATATTATTAATAATAACAAATGTCTTTGGTTATTTAATCAATATAATTCTAAAATTTCCAATATAATGATGATTGCATTTTTCTGATTATTACACCATGTTGACGCCTATGAAAGATCATCCCCATTTCCGTATGGGTTTCGTAATATTAGCTGTGTTAGAAAAAATTGAACTCTAAGGTTGATGTTCTGGAAATTTTAAATACAAATGACGTCACTTTGTATAAATCGTGACGTGTAAGTGTTTTACTTTGAAAAATGGTATATTTGTTTTACGTTCTTTATGAAATTTGGCAGTTAAAGCTTGTGAATTTTCTAAACAGCTATGACTTATGCATGCGCAAAGTACAAATTTACGTTTTGCCTGTCTTATACTAACAGTTTTACTAATGTCGCCATTTGATTTAAACACGAAAGCGAGTGGATCGACACCGTGTCCGTACATACCGAACTGGTATTGCTTGTCAAATTTAACGTGATACTTAGCCGATTTGAAATTAGGCTCCACCCTCGATGCGCATTCGACCACAACACAATTTGTTCTTATTATTTCTTGGCCCTTCGAAGTGCAAGTTACTTGTATAGTCTGCGATAAAGTTTTTTACTTATGTTTAAAGTTACTGTGTGTTGAAGAAATATCGTATTACAATAGATTTGACTTTTTAAATAATTATTGTTAAGTATTTTAAATTATAAATATGGATTTTCATTCAAAATTAGAAGGCAAAGTCTTGTCTGGACAAACGAGGGAGGTAATAGCAAATGTATTTATTTTTATACCTAAGAGAAGCGGTGCAAAATCCGCATGTTAAACAGTTCCGCAGATTTTAAAAAAGTTCATTCAAACATCAAAATAATAATCATTGTCATAATTAATTTCTACAAAATTAAATAAAATTAAAATAGTGTACTTATATAAATATATAATTTAAATAAGTTAAGTTTTAATGTTTTGTTAATTTAAAAATTTAATGGATTAACCTCATGTTGTAAGTTTTTATACTAGTTTTATACAATGTTTTTTAATTTTATTTTCATTATATTTACTAATACCATAGTTTAGCATATCCTGAAGAAGCAAATAAATTTTGCAAAAGCTTGATAAAGAATAAAGACTTTTACTTATCCTGTCCTATTAATGGCTGCAACCTCAAAATAAAACTTTATTACATATATATATATATATATATATATATATATATATATATATATATATATATATATATATATATATATATATATATATATATCCATCATCATTATCAGCGTATTCTACCAATTATGGTGCAGCCTCCCTTACATAGTCGTTCTTCATGTCTGCCCACGACTGTCTAATATTCGCTTTTCTGTGCCATGTTGTACCGGCTTGTTTCCTTATGTCATAGTCCCATCTTAAATTTGGACGTCTTCTTGGTCTCTTGACGCCTCTTGGATACCACAGAGTAATTCTAGTGGACCATCTATTGTCAGTTCTTCTTGCTAAGTGTCCCGCCCACTGCCATTTTAAAGATTTTATTCGGTGGATTACATCAGTGACCTTCGTTTTCTGTCTGATCCATTCTATTCTTTTTCGATCTCTCTTGGTTATACCTAACATGCATCGCTCCATTGACCTTTGAGTGACTTTGAGTTTAGCTATTATATTTTTCTTTAGTGTCCAAGTTTCGCAGCCGTATGTCATGACTGGTAGTATACGTTGATCGAATGCCTTTTTCTTCAGGTGGAGTGGCATCCTAGATTTGAATATAACTGAATTTTTACCAAAAGCTGCCCAAGCCAGTTTCATTCTTCTGTTGATTTCTGGGAGTAATTAGCCAGATTTATGTATTAATTGTCCCAGGTATATATACTCGTCTACTGTCTCCAGTGCAGTATTATTTATTATTACATCTTGGACATCCACTAGCTCGTTGTACATGGTTTTTGTTTTTGTCAAGTTCATTTTTAGGCCAACTTCATTGCTAGCTGCATTTAGGTCGCTTATAAGTTCTTGTAGTTCTGCGGGATTTTTAGCAATTAGAACGATGTCGTCTGCAAATCTTAGATGATTGAGGTATTCTCCATCAATGCATAGGCCTTTGTTTTGCCAGTTCATTTTGCTGAATATATTTTCTAGAGTTGCAGTGAAGAGCTTTGGTGATATAGAGTCTCCTTGTCGGACGCCTCTAGTAGTGGGAAATTCTGGAGTGTTTTCATAAATTTTTACCTTAGCTTTTGCTTGTCTGTATATATTTGCTAAAGTTTCTATGTAAGGTTTGTCAATGCCTTGGTTGGTCAAAGATTCTATTACTGCCTTGGGATAAATAGAATCAAAAGCCTTCTCGAAATCTATGAAGGTTAATGCTAGCGGTATTTCATATTCTTTAGCTCTACTCATTAGTTCTCAAAGCGTATGGATATGATCTATGGTACTGAATCCACTTCTGAAGCCAGCTTGCTCTCTTGGCTGTGCAGCATCTAATGCATTTGTTAATCTGTTGTTGATAATTTTTGTGAATATCTTGTATATGATTGGTAGTAGACTTATAGGTCTGTAGTTTTTAATCTCCTCTTTATTACCTTTCTTATGGATCAAAATTATGTTTGCTGTATTCCAGTGGTCTGGTATGCATCTTGATCTTAGACAGTTCGTAAATACACCTGCTAAGATGTTCCACGTCTTTTTGCCAGCGTATTTAAGCAGTTCCACTGTTATTCCATCAATTCCAGCTGCTTTACCGCTTTTCATTTTTGAAATTGTCGATTCTACCTCTTCCGGAAGGACTTTTGTTACATCTTCGTGGTTACTGATTGCTTCTTCAAGCATTTCAGGAGCTTTGTATAGTTCGCTATAGAATTTAGTCACGAGTTGTATTATTTCATTTCTGTCTGTAATTCTGGTGTTTTCGTTTGTTAGAGCCACGATTTGCTTCTTCCCAATAATTAATGCTTTTCTTGTTTTCTTATAGTTCTTTCTGTTTTCGATTGCATTTTTTACCAGCCTTTCATTGTATTTTCTTATGTCTTCCTTAATACCTTTTCTTATTGTCTTACAAAGTTCTGTGTATTGTATTCTCTGTACGTTGCTAGTTACTTTCATTTCCCTTCTTTGTTTTAGCATTGTTTTTGTTTTATTAGATAGTTTCCTATGTTTGTTTTGTTCTTGCGGGCCTCCGATTTCTTTGGCACTATCAAGGATGATTTGCATTAATTGAGAGCTGTCGATTTGATCATGTAATCTTTCATCAATTGTCCTTTGATACTGACCTAAGTTTTCTTTTAGATTACTAATATTTATACCGGTTATTGTTGGTTTGCGATTAATTTTATTCTTTCTAGTTTTAGGTCTAGAACAATTTGTGCTCTGAGTAGTCTATGGTCGCTGCCTGTTTGAAATTTATTTGTTACACTGACGTCTTTTATTGTAGCAATTTTGTTGGTTAGAATGAAGTCAATTTCGTTCTTAGTGATTCCATTTGGTGCTACCCAAGTCCATTTTCTGTTCGACTTTTTCTTAAAGAATGTATTTGCAATAGACATATTTTGGTAGTGAGCAAACTGAACCAGTCTTTCTCCTATTTCATTTCTCTCACCGACTCCATACTTTCCCATGACTTGTTCTTTGTCGTTTCTCTTTCCTACTTTGGCATTAAAGTCACCAATTAAATACTTAAAGTGACTTTTGTTGTTATTTAATGCTTCGGTTATGTTACTGTAGAGTTCTTCTATTTCTTCGTCAGAGTGAGTAATTGTTGGGGCGTATATTTGTATAATTTGTACAGTATATCTCCTTGATAGTTGTAAAGTTAAGCTGGCTACTCTATCCGAGTATATATATATATATATATATATATATATATATATATATATATATATATATATATATATATAAAGTACTCTATAATTTTTTTTAAATCTTAAGTCAAATGTCCTCATTTGCCCCAATGTGCGGGGTAAATGAAGACTGCAATTTTTCCCAATTGAACTCATCTATAAAATAAAATAGGTAAATGAAGACAAAAGCTGTGCATCATTTAATGTGACCGAATATGTGGTACCCGGAAAAGCTAAACCACTTCCAGTCAATCTTGGTAAGACTCCAATTCCTTCAAAAACTATGTGAGGTGGTAAATAAGAATCATCAGCATACATACAGTATAAATACATACATCAGCATTAATACAGTAACAAACTAAGTGATATTTTAGGTCTACAGTGCAATATTTCAAACATAATAAGTTTTTTAACCTCAATGAACGTTTTAAATGCTATCTAATATTATAAATGTAATGGAAATTACTGTTCGCTATCATTGTTTCGCTAGTAGCCAATTTGGCTGATGCGATTTTTGTTAATAAAAAAAAAGAACCATCAGCGCTAATGCAACAGTTAATTGATATATATTGTCACGACCTGTGCTACGAATGCGTTGATAAAGCGCTTTATTTTTTTGACCAATACCCTAAATTTTGGAGGGATTCGTACAAAATCTAGACTCGTCGCAGTTGAAGAAAAGCTCGGGCATTTGATCAAATAAATTTTCATTTACAATTTGTTGTAATTTATTGTAATGGTCTGCTACAACAAAAGGATCAGAAGACAGGGCCCATTTATTTTGCAAACTGTGTGGCTTCTTTAATGATAATCGATAATGTCGATTCATAAAATTTTTATACCAATCTTTACCGGGTTTATTTTGCTTGAAAGAATTAGAAATGTTTGAATATTGGCAATAATTTTGAACGAAACATAATAATCCTTCTTTATCCATGGGATAATCAAAGTCGATTCTCGCTGAAATTAGCTGTTTTAGTTGACCCTCAACTTCTTTTAAAAGAGCAGCGCCTACCAGCGCCCAAAGATTCCAGTGAAGTTTTTCTTCTATTTATTCGGGTAGATATAACGCTTCTTGGAACTCCATAATATTCTGCAGCAGAGCGATAAGAACGGTTGTGTTTTTTTACGTCGTATTATCATATTGCAACTTATTTTAACCTGTAACGAAAAAATAAGTATCAACTAGAAACCACGCCTCTGTATAATAGTAATTAGGGGTAATTGGGGACGCGTCTTCATTTACCTCTTGTACATAGTATTTTGGGGTAATTGTTGATACACAAAATAAACATCTCAAAAAAGTTTGCAGTTAAATCAAGTATTAAAAAAATGTTCTGCTTAAGAATTTAAAGCAAACTGTAATGAGAAACATTCAATATTTTAAATATTTTTAAGGTAACAGTACTTACCGTAACAGTCAACCAAACAGATACACCAAATATTTTATAGGTTAACCTTCAGTGTCAAGTGCGTTAAAATAACAGCTTTTTATTCTTCGAGTTCGTAGATTGCTGGTAGATGTGACCTAAGTGTAGAAGGAAGATACAAAGGAAAATTCAACATAGCGCATTTATTAGCGACTTCATTTTCAATGTCCTCATTTGCCCCTGTCCACATTTACTCTGATTGACCTTATATAGTTATGTATTGTTTAATAGTTTCTACTAGAAAAATAGTTAACCCTACCAGGGTAAACTTTGACTGGACTATTACAGTTTATTAATATAATAAGTTGACAAAACGTTTTGGTTTTTTATTTAAGTAATTTTTGGACGTGCACAGATATTTTGATGGTCGTAGCTGTTTAGATAATCCACAAGTTTCTAAAGTGTTTCTGTTTTCGTGTTTCTGTTTTCCCTTTACAAAAATTATATAACTAAAGATTAAAACTCACGTTAATTATTTAGATTTTAGATTTTTTTGGGTCTAAGGTAATACTTCTCTAGAATTTTATGAAAAAAATTTGTTAATTACTATTTTCTGTCCTTTGCTCTGAACGAAATCTGTAAAATGTAAATCTTCCAGAAAATATTTCTGCAGATTAGATGTATTTAAGACTTTTTATCTCGCAGCCGGTCCTGGTTATTTTAATTCCTTTTCTTAGTAATGTCGATAATTATTTTTGTACTGTTGTGCATGTAGGTGCCGCAGTCAAAAACTAAAGTCCACTGCTGAACATAGGCCTCCCGTAGTTCACCCTACAAATTTCTGTCCTGAGCCGCCTGCATCCAATTTTGATGTGTCTGTTTCAGGTCATCCGTTCATCTTGTTGGTGGTCGTCCTCTATTCCTAAAGGCATCTTGTCTGGGTCTCCACTCAAGAATGCGTTTTGTCCATCTGCCGTCCTTTAGTTAGTCCCGATCTGCGGCACAATTCTGTGTTGGGTATTCGGTCTCTCAGGGTTAATCCCAACATGGACCGTTCCATTGCCCTCTGTGTTGTTCGAATTTTTTTTGCGGACCTCTTAGTAAGTGTTAGCGTCTCCGCACCATAGTTTAGAACCGGCAGCACACATTGATCGAAGACTTTTCTCTTCAAGCAGATGGGAAGAGCTGATTGGAAAGCATCTCTTAGCTTTCCATAAGCTGCCCATGTCAACCCTATTCTACGTATTAGTTCATTGGTCTGGTTATCTCTACTTAAGCGAATTTCGTGTCCCAGATATTTGTATGCTGATGTTTGTTCTATACTTGTTCCAGCTATGTTGATGTTCTCACTCAGAATAAGGTTTGTCATCACTTGTGTTTTTGAGTTATTGATCTTTAAACCCACTTGTGTAGAGGCATGGTAGAGTCTTTCGCACATTTCGATGGCATGATCTATGCGGTCTGTTATCAGGACTATATCGTCCGTGAACCTGAGGTGACTAAGCTGCTCTCCATTTATGTTTATGCCCTTTTCGTCTAGGTTTGCACGCTTACACATGTATTCCAATAATGTTGTAAACAGTTTTTAAACTCCACGATGGCTGTTGAACTTGCGTGTATCTTCATGGAGTCTGACGCATGCCGTGGCATTCTCATAGATATTTTTGATGACAGTAGTTTATCTGTAATCTCACTCTATCACTCAATTTCTACACGACGTTTATTAAAGTCTGTAAATTTGTTTGCACTTCAGCTAGTATCGCATTATCATTTACGTATTTTAGATTATTGATCATAATTCCGTTGATTTTGGCACCTTCTAGGCGTAACTTCAAAGATTCCTTAATTATATGTTCCATATAGACTTTAAAGTGAAGCAGAGATAGGAGGCATCTCTGACGTACTCCTTATTTAATGTTGATACAGTTGGTATTGCGATTTACATTATGATTATAGTATATAATTTCGATTTCTTGTAAGATTTGAATAGTTTTTCGTGATTTATACGGTAGATTACTTTTTGGTAATCAACAAAGCCAACGTAAAGTTTTTTTGCACTTTCAAATACCTTTCGCCAAAAGGGTCAACTTCAGCTAATAGCTGTTTCCTTTTGAAAATCATACATTCATTAAAAATTTTATTGTGAATTATCCATATAAGGACTTTTATAACTTGAATCAACAGTCTAATCGTTCTATGGTCGTCAGATAGTCTTAAGTTAGTTAGTCCTATGGAAGCGTTCCTGTTTCGTATATTATGTCATAAAAATACGTTAGTTTGTTGACTGTAGTTTTGCTAAGGTGTTTAAAGTATCCTGTTACTACAGAGTCGTCTCCAGCAGCTTTGTTGTACTTTATTTCTTTTATAGCATATACAACTTCTACTGTCAAGGTGGAGAGATTTCCGACCTCTGCTATTGGTTGACTGTCAAGTGGTCTGTTGTCTGTAAATAATTATCTTTTTAAAATTCGGTTTTAAGACCTAGTTCTTGTTTTTGTGTTCTTGCTGAATTTTTTTAAATAACTTACTTGGTTATAATAGATGGCGTAGTTGCGTCTATACATAGCTACTTTTGATAACTATGGTCTACGACGGGAAAAGATTTTGTTTCGATACGGAGTAGTGGCTATACCGTACTGAGGAGACCTAAAGAGGTCGAAATACGTATATGCGGCTTGTCACTGCTCTGTGTCTGTATTGAATCAAAATCTAATACCGTCATTTTGTTTATTTCTTTACTTTGTTTCGAGTACCAAAAATTGGATTCACTACGAATTTTGGCCATGATGAACGGCATTTGGAATGCATTCTTAGATTTTTTTTGCCGATTTATTCATCAAGCTGTGTGCTTTGCAAGTTTTAGAAAGCACGGTGGCTGAGATTTGAATTCGATTTCACCAAGTAGAAATCGCATGATTTCTCTTTTTGTTCTAGATGACTTAGTTACGTCTGTACATAGTTATTTTTGATAACTATGGTCTACGACGGGAAAAAATTTTGTTTTAATACGGAGTAGTGGCTATACCGTACTGATGAGACCTAAAGAGGTCGAAATACGTATATGCGGCTTGTCGCTGCTCTGTATCGAATCAAAATCTAATACCGTCATTTTGTTAACTTACTTTGTGTTAACTACCTTTTTGTAGGTGTACTGCGGTGTTTAAATTGATGGTCTTTTTACAGAACTGCCTTCATGACCTTTTTTGACCATTTTAATTCATTGTTCCACTCGGTCTGTTTCATATTAGATTTGACTGAACTTGGTCACGGTTCTTCTTAATCTTGAAACGCAACATTCGTAATTATTCTATGTCTTTCTAAAAAATAATTTTAGAAAGACATAGAATTTTTTTAGACGTAATTTCTAAAAATTAATCATACGTGATTATTGGTATAAATTTTACTGCTATTTCCTGCATTTTTTAAATATTTTTTTATTTTAGACCTAATTGTTGGTATACCTATACAATTTCTTTTGGCTGGATATGAAACTACCAGCACTACAATTTCTTTTACCTTATATGAATTAGCAAAAAATGTGGAAATTCAGAAGAAAGTAAGAGCAGAAATAAAAAACAAGATGAAGCAATACGGTGGGATAACTTACGAAACTGTTCACGATTTGCCCTACTTGGATATGTGTATTTATGGTAAGACCTAATTATTTCTGAAAAAAACTGAATTACTTATTTACTTCGTTAATTACCCTCACATTACGACTTGTAGTCATATAATAACGCCATAACGCCACTTTTGTTTTTGTGTTTTCTTTCATTACAATTTTGAACTTAGTGTTTTCTGTTTTAAAGTTATTAATTTTTTATGATTGATGTACTGTCTTTATAGACTACTCCAAACAGTAACTAATGTTTTTTTTTTTTCAATTTAGTTGGAAATGCTCAGAGATTTGTGGTTCAAAGCCAAATGTCTGTAACGTTTTTTATCATATCATTCTTCAGTTTATAAATCTCTGGCATTCGTGGCATCTTCGACATCTTCCTCATGACCGTCTTGGTTTACCTCGTTTTTTCTAGTAGGCGGAGTCCGTTTTTCTATTTTTTTTTTGGCCACCTATTTTTAGGTGCTCTCTGCAGGTGTCCATACCAGTTTAACCTTTCGGCTGTAATAGTGTCTAAATAATTGATGGATTCGACCGTTACTTGATGGAAATTCATTTTATATAACAATAAAACACTGAAAACTTTGTTTTCAAACTTCCACAAAATTTATTTTAAATCTTATCACTACAGCTGTTTCGGCTGATTGCCTTTCTCAAGTGATGTATTTTTGGCTTAGGTTTACAAATTTATAATCTCTAATGAAATAGGTTGAGGAAGGAAGAACTGTTTGTCTCAAGTTGGTCATTCAGAATTATATCTGTGTTTTTTAATTTGTTGATTTCCATAGATTCTAACAAAGATAGCTTAAGGCCTTTATTTTAAACGTGTAGAATTTTAAATTTGTCATTAAAAGAATGATTATTATCTAGAAGGTGAAAAGCGTATGTCGAATCTGTTTTTCTATTCTTGAAAGCATTTTTATGTTCTGCTATTCGTTTATCAAAGTTTCTACCAGTTTGACCGATGTAAGTTTTTGGGCAGTCGCCACATTGAAGTTTGTACATACGACTATTTAAGTGTTTTTTATTTTGGTTCTTGTTTTTTTTTTAATATATTTGTCTATGTTGTTATTTGTGCGGAAAGCTGGTGTTATTCCTTTCGTTTTTATGTGTTTGTAATATGTAATCTGTATAATGTAATCAAGCAGAAGGTACTATGTTTTTTCTCTGGTGGTGGAAATACTAATTTCAGGGCTTTCTTGTGTAGGTTTTGATGTAACATTTTATTAATTGTTTGTTCGTTGTATCCGTTATTTACTGCTATTTGCTTAATTCTATTTAATTCTGTCTCAAAGTTGTATTTTGACATCGGAATTTCTGTTAATCTATGTAACATAGGTGGAGATACGTAGACGACGTATGGTATGTTTCACAGGAACTAACAGGCAACTCGACCAATTTTTATCGTATATTATTCACTTCTTAGTCATATTGAATTTACAATAGAAACAGAACAAAATCAATTCATAAATTTTGTAGATTTAAAAATTAGCAGACTTCAAAACAAACATGACTTCTCAATATTTCATAAACCTACCCATACTGACACGACTATACACAATTCATCATTCCATCCAACACAACATAAACTGGCAGCTTATCATAGTATGTTACATAGATTAACAGAAATTCCGATGTCAAAATACAACTTTGAGACAGAATTAAATATAATTAAGCAAATAGCAGTAAACAACGGATACAACGAACAACCAATTAATAAAATGTTAAATCAAAAACTACACAAGAAAGCCCTAAAATTAGTATTTCCACCACCAGAGAAAAAACCCAGTACCTTCTGCTCGATTACATATACAGGCAAAATAACAACAAAAATTGCCAAACACATAAAAAAGAAAGGAATAACACCAGCTTTCCAAACAAATAACAACCAAGGCAAATATATTAAAAATAACAAGAGCCAAAATAAAAAACACTTAAATAGTGGTGTGTACAAACTTCAATGTGGCGACTGCCCAAAAACTTTCATCGGTCAAACTAGTAGAAACTTTGATAAACGAATAGCAGAACATAAAAGGGCTTTCAAGAATAAAAAAACAGATTCGACATACGCACTTCACCTTCTAGATCATAATCATTCTTTTAATGACAAATTTAAAATTCTACACATTCAAAATAAAGGCCTTAAGCTATCTTTGTTAGAATCTATGGAAATCAACAAATTAAAAAACACAGATATAATTCTGAATGACCAACTTGAGACAAACAGTTCTCCCCTCCTCAACCTATTTCATTAGAGACTTAAAATTTGTAAACCCAAGCCAAAAATAGATCACTTGAGAAAGGCAATCAGCCGAAACAGCTGTAGTGATAAGATTTAAAATAAATTTTGTGGAAGTTTGAAAACGAAGTTTTCAGTGTTTTATTGTTAATAGTGTCTATTATGTCTACATCAATTTTTATTTTTCTCCTAATATCTACATTTCTGACTTTATTAAATCTAGTGAGTCATGGCCTTAATTTTTGATTTGTGTCTTTGATTGATTTCCCAAAGCTCGGCACCGTACAACCCAATACTTTCTATTATTGGTTAATGAATTCTTCCTTTATTTTCTTTTGATATTTTATTATTCTACAGTAGTCCGTATAGCTGTCTAGTGGCTAATCTTGCGTGGCCAATCCTAAAATGAATTTTTTCGTTACTTCCTGCTTTTAAGGTTATTTGGACGTTAGAGTATTCGAAGGTTTCAGTTGCTTTTATAGTTCCCATTTTAATTTGTATTCTTTCTGGTTTTTCTTCTGCAACTTAGTAGTCGGTTTTTTGTATATTCCTTGAAAGGCCCTACTTGGCGTATTCCTCTTCCAGTTTTCTAAGCATATACTCTACTTCACTACCGACTTCTACTAGAATGGCTTGGTCTTCAACGAAGTGTATCATGTACAATCTCTCGTCTAGTGTAGTATTGCTTTTATATTTAGTTAGACGATAAAGAAGGAAGTTAACAAAAAGTATTTTTCTATAGATTGTTGAGAGTGAATTTATGACACTTAGTCCCCTGTAGTTTAAACAATTTTTTCTATAAAAAAATGTATTGCAAATCCTTTATAAAAGGTATATAATAAAATGCCCAAACGGGCTATCACAATTATATTACAGAACATTTTCGGATTGTTAAATCCATCATCAGTGTAAACAAACTGTTTACACTGAAGATGGATTTAACAATCCGAAAATGTTCTGTAATATAATTGTGATAGCCCGTTTTTGTGATATATGGTATACAGCCAGCTACAGGAATTTAGTTTTCTAGTGGATTTTTAATTTTTTCTATCTCCTTTCTTGTAGTTGTTGTTATTATGTGCTTTTGTGTACTCTGGTGGTTAAGTCATATTCTATCCAGAAGAAGGTATAATATATGCTAGTAATTCGCGTAATACTCATGGACTATGTTTTATTTATTCGTTCGGTACACCTTGAAATCTGCATACTTTTGATTTTGTAGATCTCGTATTACATATTCAACTTCCTGTACTCTTATCTCACCGTCTTTATTATATTTCACTTCATTTGCTATTGTAACGGGTGTTCATGAATTGCGGTCTTGTTTAAGTCAGAAGTTGTGAGTGATGTGATAGATCCAAGATTTTTTTTTATTAAATCTATTGTATCCATTTCTTTTCTGTTTGTTATTGGTAAAAAAGGTTTTTCAATGTTTTTCATACTTTTCTTGATCTTGTTGACTCTGTATATTTGTTGAGCCCTTTGTATTTACTTTCCGAGAAAACATTTTTTGCTTAACTACTATATTTTTTACTTCTCTATTTGATCTTGCGCTTGGGTTCGTCTGTCATCTGAATCATTTGCTTGCAGCCACTTTTGATATACTTGTTTCTTGTTATCTATTGCAGTGCAGTAATCATTATAGATCTTAAATAAAGCTAATTTATTGGAATATGGTCGATGAAACAAGATCAGAGAAGAATGTCTAATATAAAATAAAGAGAAGAGGAAAAGTTGGATGAATGACAATATACTGTAGCTTATGGAACAAAAAGAATAAAAAAACAACAAAAGAATAAACAAAAATATTTAGATAAAAATAAGAACCGAAATACGAAACCGAAAAGAAATTTTATATGCATAAAAAGAAAAACAAGCAGCTGGCCTTCAAGAATCCAACACAACTAGCAAATTGCAAGATCAACAGGAAAACGTCATCATAGATAAAAATCAAATAATATGCATTTGGAGCAAATAAATACAAGAAATTTCTGATATATAGGTCCGAACAACCTCCGTCATAAATATGTAATGATCACATATTAATCACATCAGATGATGAGAAAAAAACAATATCACAACTAAAAAATGGCAAAGCTTCTGGAGCTGACAATGCCTATGCTGAACTCATAAAGCTAATGAACACCGACAGTACTCACCGAAAAAAAAAAATATTCAATGACATATATTTAAAAGGAGTAATACCAAGATCATGGCTAAACTGCCGAAGTCAACGTTCATTGTCAATCAGCCGTACACCGTTTGGTATTCGGAATGCAGTGGGTACGAGAGACAGTCTCTTTAGCGAACAAGTGCTACTTCAACAATGTAAATATGTGAATTACGATATTTACGCATGCTTCATTGATTACCATAAAGCATTCGATACAGTAAAACACCACAAGCTGATGGAGATATAAACAACTATTAGACTAAACCTCTGTGCTCTAAGCTAATTAATAGCAATTTTTACTGAAATCAAACATCGCCTATTCGTACAGAGGCAAAAGAATCCGTCTTCTCCTTCATGTACCATGTCCTTTCAGAACGTTGGTTACCATCATAGCCATCTTAATTTTCTTCAACGACGACGTTCGTCTTCGCCCTGAACTGCTTTTGTCTGCTATTTTTCCTTGCAGATATATTGTAGCAACCTATATTTAGAAAAAATCCGGTGATATAAAAATCAAACGTGAGGTCTGACAGCGATATATTTATACTATCGCCCCCGCTGTTCATCATATACTCTGAGAAAATCTTTAAAAAAACAGTAGAACATGTTAAAGGTGGCA